ACCATGGCTTTCACGGAAACATCATAATTCAGAAATCATGGCCACACAGTTTTAGGAACTACAATGGTTGTTTTGGAGCTCATGCTTATAAAATCCTCATTGAAAACCCAGCTTGTTACTTGCTTTACTGGGTGAGTAAGAGAGGTTAGTTCCTGGTAAGATATCTGGGAGACCATAAAAAAGAGAAAAATCCACCCAAATCTATGGCTATGACAAGAGAAGTCTGATGGCAAATCCCTGGCTTGGCTTGGTTTTCCCTTTCGTGCTCTTAGTATTGACTTGGCACGTTGTGTCATTAGGTAGGCAATTTATGATAGTTATACCTTTTTGATGTATTACTATTTTCATTATTTTAGTATTCTATATAATTTATTTGTGTACTAATACCATATTATTGATATTAATATTTCAAATTCATCACATTTCAGGGGCAGAACGATGGGTTGTTATTTTTGTCACTTAAGTTTCAACCTTCTATGCTTTTGTTTTAGGCAAATAAGGAGGAAAGTAGAATGTAGCTAGGGTTTTACAAATTCCTATACAATAAATCATGCTTTAACCGTTTTTATTGCAGTAGAATGCACAGGCAAAAATGCATTAAAATGTGTAAATATCTTAAGTGAGCAGCTTATTTCCAGCATTCGAGAATTCGCATAATGACCACTTGCAGTCCCTGCACCACCTCCCCCGTGGGGAGCCATTATTCTGGCGATCAACAGAGTAGACTTGCCTGGTTTGTACTTTCTGTCCATGGGATGTGTCAGTAGGTACTCCTCTACATCTGGTTTCTTTCATCCAGTATTATGTTTCTGAGATTCATTCATGCTCTTCCATTAGCTGTACACCATTTATTCTCCTTGGTGCACAGCATTTCATTGTGTGAATGTAACACAAGTTTTTCGCCATTTTCCTCTGCATAGCAATTTGCGTAGGTCCAGTATTCTGCAAAATAGTGCTGTCGTAAATATTCTGACCCATATCTTGGTGTGACCAGAAGAAAGCATGTCATGGGGTAGATGGCTGGGGGTATTTAGGGGGTATGCCCTATTTCATGTGTACAGACACTGCCACACAGCTCCCAAGTCCCTATACCAGTTCCTGCTCCTAACAGCCTATATAATAATGTGTTTTTTAAGAGATTAATATAATCCACTGACTTTCACTATGAGAACTTACCTGTTGTGACTCATTTCTCCCTTCTGACTTTGTGTTTCTTGTTACTCTTTCTCTTAAGGTCCTTACTGCACTGTTCTCTGCTGTCCTCTCTAAGCAGCAGCCCAGGGCTGAGCACTCCCATTGCCCGGGGACAGGGACACACACCGCCCCCCCAGGACTCCCTCACTCACTCTTGGACCTTCGGCCTCTGGAACATTCTGTGACTCAAATGTTTGTCTATTTAGCAGGCATGCTGGTCCTCATTTCAGAGCATGGACAGCATAGGATCCTGACCGCACAAAAACGTAGGGTCCCAGAGAAATGGAACCGTGACCTGGAGGTGGTCTCAGGCCAGAGAGCCTAAGCTGGGGCTAAGAGGCTTCAGACTTCCCCTTGGCAAAGAGGGGCAGGAGAGGGACTGGGGAGCGGGGCTCAGGCACGGGGACATGTGCTGTGACTCTCTGTCTTCTGGGCCGCAACCCCCACCTCCTGCCTCACTGTCCCTGACCTGTCTCGATCAGCACGTGGGCTCCTTCCCCATCCCAGGGGCCCAGAGCAGGCCTGGTCCCACCACCATGGCCCATCTGGGCTTCACGTGGGCCCTGTTTTCGTCAGAGCCTGTGCAAGCTCCGAGGGCTCTCCTCGCCCAATAGCTTCCGATGCCAACCCTCCTGAAGTGCAGGTGCTTCTCCCAGGATGTGATGCTGTTGGAGGAATCTCAACACAGTGGAGAACGCTGGAGGGGTTTCCAAGCTCCAGGAGTCCCTTTCCTGGTTAATGTGGGCATGGTGGGTTCGGAAATATTTACTCTCCGCCGATGGGCATAGTCCTGAAACGTAGCCTGATTTCTGCCTTAAGGCCTTTTGATGTCAGACCTCCCACTCTGGCCAATGTCCCCGATGAGCGTGACATCACTGAGCACCGAGTTGGGAAGGGACTTGCGGCCTCTCTCCTGTACGTACAATTTCCACCAGATACAATCATAGAAAACCCCTCAGGGAAAGATAACAATAGAATGGAGTCAAATAACGATGAAATGATGAGTTTGAGTATAATTACCTTTGTTTTGGATGCAACTGATTTAACTGTATTAATGTATTAAGTTCCTACCATTTAATTTTTCCTAATGGCTGTGATTAACTGCAGACTTGCAAATTTCTGAAAAGGCAGCACCCCACTGTAAGCCAGCTGCCCTGAGCTGACTGCCTCTCTCAGGGGGCATGCAGCAAGGCTACCTCTCCCCTGCACACATACCGGTACCCATGTCCCAGCAAACACAGTAATCAAGAGGAACCTCGGGTCCAACCCATGGTCCCCTGGAGCAACTATGAGCTGAGACTGTCCCTGGGTGGCACACACTGGAAGCTCCCCTGATCAAACCTGTCTGGAAGTGAGCCTCCACCTTGGGCAGAACCCTGTGCTGGTCATTCTGAGGAGCCTTGAGCCAGGGACAGGACTGAGGTGCGGACTCCAGGGGGCTGCTTGTTAGCAGGGAATCTGGGTAAATCGGGACATACCCACCGCTCTGTTGCTTGAGATCCAGATCGGATTCTGTTTTCTTACAGATAGGGAGAGGAGGCAGAGACAGCCCTTCCCTGGGGTATTTGTTAGAGCAAAAATATGGACGCGCTTCCTCTAATGGACAACCACTGGCATCCAGAGGGACCAAAGTAACAAGGTCCCTAGAAGCAAAAGGCCTTAAGGCATCACTGTGTCACTGTGTCGCCCTCTCGTGTTCACAGGAGGAATGAATGGCAAGAGTGTGAGCCCGGAGAGGCGGCTCCTCTGGGAGGGCCTGGGAGGCAGGCTCTGTTCCCCGAAGGGGAAGGAGACAAACCCAGGACAGGTGACGTTGCCTTGCTGTTCTCATGGCCACTGGGGCCTAGAGGTCTGGGGTGTCAGCATTCTGCTGAGGATGGAGCTGAGGGTCAGTGAGTGGGCTCTGAGCAAGTCCTGAAGGTGCATGGAGCTTGGAGGAGCTGTACCCCCAGGTAGAGCGAGTGGTCCCAGGGGGCCCAGCCGGGGTGTTAATGGGGTGTGGACATCACAATAATCCATGAACGTGATGAAACATAATATCCCGTCCCTCTCACACTGTGCTGAACTTGGTTATGTCCAGATATACGAAATAAAACTAAAAAATCCTCAATAATCTTCATTTCAAGTATCTTAGAGAAGGTGAAAGGCTACCCAATGCATTTTACCAACTTATAATAATATAATATCATTTGAGTAGTGGCAAGAACAGCACAGGAAGAAAACCTTATGCAATCTAATTTTTAGCACAGATGCAAACATAGGAAAAAGCAAAATAGAATAGAATTTCAGGAAATTGTTCCTGGCCATATATAAAATATCCATCAAAAACAGGATTTATTCAAGGATGCAAGGATAATCCAAAATCAGAAAACGTATTGAAGGAGAATGGAATAATGCCATCCCAAAATATGCCTCCTTGGCATAAGCATTATTTTGAACTGATACATTTTTTAATTTTTTATTTAAATTCAATTTAGTTAACATATGGTGTATTATTAGTTTCACAGGTAGACTTTAATGGTTCATCAGTTGCATATAACACCCAGTGCTCATTCCATCACGTGCCCTCCTTAATGCCCATCACCCAGGGACCCCATTCCCCCACCTACCTCCAGTCCAGCAACCCTCTGTTTGTTTCCTAGAGTTAAGAGTCTCTTATGGTTTTCCATCCCTCTCTGTTTTTATCTTATTTTGAACTGATTATTTTTGAGAAAGTGCAGGTGCAGGAGAACCTCTGAAAACAGGAGTTACCTGCCTATAAGGGAAAATCTATATTCATAAAGGAAATGTCTATTAGAAAGGATACCTGTAACAGGAAGAGAACTACTCCCAGAGATCACTGTTTTTTTCCACTCGAGAGACTTATCTGCATGGTAAGGCAAACTTCATTTTCCGTAATTACCTCCTCTCACTTCCCCCTGAATTGCTTTCCCCTCATCCTGAAGCCCCAAACTCCTATCCCTTTCCTTGGCTAAGGACTGTATATAAGTCTCAATCATCTGGCTGTCTTTCAGGTCTCGTACATTTGTGGGCCTTCATAAGTATGTACATGATTAAATGTTTTCCCCTTGTTGATCTGTCTTATGTCAGTTTAATTCTTGGAGCAGCCATAGCACCTAGAAGAGGAAAAGGGCAAAGCTTCCTTCCCCCACGCTACGGGCACAGACAGCCGGGATGTTGGGGCAGTGTGGAGAACAGGTTTGTGTTGCCGTTTCTTCCTGCAGCTATTGGAGGAATGGTTCCTAAGGTTATAATGTTTACCTTGGACGGTTGTGAACCAGGTATTCATTAGGAGGAAAATAAAATCAGCCAACATTTTCTCCCCTCACATTATAGGTCCTTCAATGCTACCATGGTTTTGAAACCAGAACTGCTTTATAAATCATTAAAAGATTTGAATGTGTTTCAGGTTTAAGTGGAAGAAATTCTCCTCTAAGCAGAAAAGAATGTCCTATACACTCCTTTTCAGAAAGGACTGGAACATCCCTGACATGGGGGATGAGTTGAGTTGTCAGAAGCTGTGATTGAACGGATCTCAGGGCAATGGCTGGCCTGAGATGTGAAAAGCTATACAAGTCACCAGAAGGAGCGTTTGCCAAATGATAAGTGATGAGTCTCACTGGAATGGAGTGACCACCCATTGATGCATTGGGGTACTTTTGTGGAAATTAAATCTTTTGTGCTTAGTCTCTCAGGTGGCAATTAGCACAGAATACAAAAGAAAAAGAGACGCAGTCAGATAATTATTGAATCTATATAGGAATTTAGATATTTTCACTGAAAATGAAGTCTTTTGAATGGTCTGGATCTGTTTCACATGAAGAATTCTGAGGTTGTACCAAAGATGAGTGATACTTGCTCAAACTGAGGGTGAGGTTCTTTTTTGCAAAGTGAATACAAAGTAGCAGCTGGAAATAGCAAAGCACAGGCCATCATTCTAGTGTGGGTTGGGGTTTCCATGATTCGATTTTTGAAAGTCCAGTTAATAAAGCTTAAGGTTACATAAGTGAGTAAGAATCATTTCATGTAAACCCTTAGGATCAGTGTTTTCCAAGCGTTGTATTTACCCGATGTTCCTCCGGTTGTTCTTGGTATTTATCGGGTTGTTTTTTCTGAGAGCTTTGAGGGTCTTTGGAGACTCTGATGAAACAGAAAGTGAAAGCATCGATCATGCATGTTATAGGCAAGAAAATTTCTCCAACCCCCCTAGGATACCTGGGTGGGTCTAAAAACTGAACTGACTGAGACAGGTTAACAGGAGAAAAGCAGACAAATTTTGCTAAATTTTTACATGTACCTGGGAGCTTTCACAAGAGGATGAAGACCCAGAGTTACCAGAAGTTACCAGAGCAGGAAGTTTTTATGCCTTTTAGACGGACCGTAAATTTGTGAAGATTTGACAAGACAAAGGGGTTTGTGTGAGGAGCGGTAAAAGGTGAAGAAGCAAGTAGGAAGATAAGGGTGAGCTTCATGAGTTCTGTTTATACAGATTTGTTGGCCCCAAGTTCCTTATCTCTGGTGATAAAGGTATTTCCTTTCTTCTGGTACAGGGAGGGTACCTTTCACGTGGGAGTTTGATGACCAGTTTCAGAGAAGGAGGGCAAGGAAAAAACGTCATCAGGCGTTCTGGTGAACTCCCTGAGTGGTCCTCACAGAAAGAGATGTAAAATTTGTCTAAACACGAGCCACGGTGGCATTTCTCTGAAGTTTATGTCACGTCGTCGAGCTGTAGCTTGCATGTCTTCAGAAAAAGAGCAGTTTTAGTTCTGAATGATTCCAAGTCAGAAGGGTCAGAGAATAATTGGAAACATCAATTTGGGGAGGTGTAGCAGATAGCAGAAGAAACTAAAAGAATTCAGGACTGAGTCCAGCTTACAGGTACATAACAAAATCTTAAATGCAATGAATGAGACTGGGATCTACCACCTATATGGGTGTGCTACAGATTTCCATTAAAATATAATTTTCCCTCTATAGTTACCCCCATTTCTCTCAGAGATAATCAAAATACGATTTGCAAAATAAGTCTAGTCTCATTAAACATGGCCTGATTGGGCGCCTGGGTGGCTCAGTTGGTTAAGCAACTGCCTTCGGCTCAGGTCATGATCCTGGAGTCCCGGGATCGAGTCCCACATCGGGCTCCCTGCTCAGCGGGAGGTCTGCTTCTCCCTCTGACCCTTTCCCCTCTCATGCTCTCTCTCTATCTCATTCTCTCTCTCAAATAAATAAAATAAAATCATTAAAAAAAATAAAAAATAAAAAAATAAACACGGCCTGATTATTTACATAAGTGCAGCAAGAATAGTGGCGACCATATAAGCTCTTTTTAATCTGTTTTGCTGGAACTTTTTATGAAGAATCTCAGACTAGATTTTTTTTTTAAGATTTTATTTATTTATTCGAGAGAGAGAGAATGAGAGATAGCACGAGAGGGAAGAGGGTCAGAGGGAGAAGCAGACTCCCTGACAAGCAGGGAGCCCGATGTGGGACTCAATCCAGGGACTCCAGGATCATGACCTGAGCCGAAGGCAGTCGCTTAACCAACTGAGCCACCCAGGCGCCCTCAGACTAGATTTTTAAAGCCTCTCAAGGCTAAGAAGCCAAGCCAAGGACTCGTCATCAGATTTCGTCTATGATACCTATAGATTTGGGTTAACCCCTCTCTTCTTGAGATCCCCAAGATACGCTGAGGGTCTTGGGCCTGCCTGGAGGTGACCTTCCTTAGAACCCTGTAAACGAGGTATCAGGCCAATTTTTTTTTAAGGGGCTTTATTGGCTCCATAGAGTCAACCTTAGTTTTTAAAGCTGTCTGGTCATACCTGATTCATGCATATTCTCAAATATGACATTCCAGTCAAAGCTTTGATGATGTACCAGTGTTTCCAATTGTGATCTTAATAAGGAGAAGAGATTTTTATTGAACTTACACAAATAACTATATTGCCACAAAAACAAGAATGCTCACTAAGAATTCCCAAATGCTGGAGGGATTAGGTAGGGAGAAAAAGTAATTGTTTCATTTTCGTTCACAAAGGTAAATTTTACCAAACTGCTCTAAGTCATGAGTAGCTTAAGAGAAGAGAGTGGGGGGAAAAGTCTTCTTAAATCTGGAAAACAAAATATTAAGAAACTAGTGATATTTTAAAGCAAAAGTCATAATAATCACCCTCAGGGCTTTATGCAGTCCCACGTAATTAATTCTTGTTGGTCTTGCCCTTTTGTTATCAGTTTTATGAATCCAGATTTTCCCTTAGAGTTCTGGAAATTCTCACCCAGTTCGGTGGTATGATCTTAAAGTTATCAGAAGCCTCTACTTGTCAGAGCCCCTTCCATGAGTCTTTTTGAAAGTGGAGCACTTTTGCAAGAGCATCAGAGTAAACCAAGAATAGTAAAGGACAAGATTTAAATGACAAGATTTAAAAATAGGCACAGTTGAAGATCTGATGAGAACTCATCACAATGCAATTGACAAGGAAATTTGATCATTTTTGCGACATACAACATTTTAAGTTAATAACTAGAATTATGACTAATATCATTATCCCAGGACAGATTTCTAGGAATGCCGTATAATTTTCTAGAAAACTTGTATTAACCACATATCCCCATCCCAAAGTAACCTAAAAAGGTCAGACATCACTTCTTATTTGACAATGTTTCCATGCAATTTAACATGTCAAATAAACCTAACTAGTTCAATATCTTCCTTTTCATAAAGAGAGAGAACAAATGCTTTTAAGTTTTTTCCAGGAGCTCTCTAGAAAAGTCCAAGTCAGTTCAAGTTCACAAAGACTTCCCCAGTCCATCAGATATTTTGCCTTTGGGGGGCGCACTGTGCTGACAAAATCACTGTAACCATCTTTTGCCACTTCCCCCGCAACACGCCAACCAAGGGTGGGGGAAGCTTAGGGAGGACTATTTGCTTCATCTTATCAGTAAAGCCCAGATACATTAAGCACTTGGTGACCTTTGTTTGCCTCTGGGGAGGTGACCTTTAGGCTGAGACAAGGATCCCGAGTAGTGAGCACGATAGAGTCACTCCCATCAAGCAGTGATGTAAGCCGCCAACAGCAGTGAGCGGAGGGATATCGCTCAAAGAGAGTGTGCTGGTGGTAAACTGATCATCAGCAAGGCCAAGAGAGCCAGGAAGGACCAGGAGCTGAGAGTCACTAGAACCAGAAGAGGTCTGGAAGGACTAAATATGGATTAAACTTTGAGCAGGGAGGACTTTTGCAGCAAACTGTCAACCTCTCAAGACGCCGACCCCCCTCACTGCATCAGAAGCGCCACTGACCCCCAAGCTCCTGCCCTACTGATCTGTGGACATAGAGACCTTCCGCTGCTTGAACACAATAAGCAGAGAATGCCAAGAGCCAGCCCGAACCAGACCGAGTCCTCATACCCAGGGCCACGTAGCAGGTGCATTAACTTCCCACCCTTGTAGCTTACGGGCTGATGTATGACTTGCGTTTGTTTTGGGTGACACGTATGAAGCCAAGGTACATGCGTGCTGAGATGTCCTTGCGTTTGGAACGTTAGCCTTGCTTTATGATTGCCTGAGGCTAACATCATGAAAAGACGCAGCTCGTGTGTGCACCTTCCTAGCATGTGCGCCACACCCTGGAATGTGAGCCGTAGAGTCTCCCGGTGATGCCTTTCTCTTCACCTGCCCCTGTGGCCGATGGAGTTATCCTGGAAAATGAGAGAGGGAGGAGCCTCCTGCCCAGGGCTCTCTCTCTGCTGGGAGAGCGGCTGTGGCTCTGAAAGAGCTGACATAAGCATCCCACCCCCACCCCCACCCAAGAGGAGGGGCCAGAAAGAAAGCTGGCCTTGGGCCAGGAAGCCGTGGGCCCACATGGACAAGTTCAGTGTCTTTCCAGCTGTGTGCAGATCGCTGAGGACAGAGTGCAATGAACTAAGGGATCCTTCTGTGCTTCAGATGCAGACAAGAAATGAATGCGTCCCTGTTTCTCAGATGCTGAATGTGTTGCCCCGGCTGCTGTCTGCTGGATCTGCAACCCGGGGGCACAGGAAGGCCTTCATTGGAGCTGCTGTAGCTAACCTCAGAGACCCTGCACCCCCCTCCGGACATGCCTGAAGGAGCTGTGCCCGTGACAGCCCTGCGTGCCCTGTACCTGCACTTGGCTTGATAGGGAAGGTGTGGGTCACCTGGCTGGACTCAAGAGCAGGGCCGCAAAGAGAGGAGACCAGGAATGGGTGGGCTCCACCTTCTGAGGTAGAAGCTGCGTAGCTCAGCAAGACGCGGGAAGCATGGAGCCGACCTCCAGACTTCAGGTCTGGGCAGCCTTCTCCTTGAGGAGCATTCTCTCCCCCATCTGGGCTATCGGCTGGTCCCAGCTCCAGGGACCCTGTGGGAGATGGATTGCGATCAGGGTCCCAACCATACCTGCTTCCCTGTGTCCATGCACTTTGCAGTGTGATTTTGCAGCTCTTGCTATCCAGAGATGAAGTCCATATGCCCACCCTTGCATCTGGACCGGCCGTGTGTCTCGCATTGGCCCACACCACGTGACACAGTGACGGTGTGCCAATTCTGAGTCTTGGCTCCAAGGGCCTAGCAAACATCCACTTACTCTCCTGGGTTCTGCAGTGGCCTGGGAACCAGCCTGGGCCAGCCTGCTGCGCGCAGGAAATATGTGGCCAGTCCCTCGCACGGACCCCGCTGATGCTTGTCCACCCCCGGGAGAGTCGCCTAACTGACCTGCAGGTAACTGCAGACACAAGAGGAAGCCGACTGAACCCAACCTAAATTGCTGAGCCACAGAATTACAAGCTAAATGAATGAATGAGTGTTGTTTTAAGCCAGTACATTTGAGGGTGGTCTGTTTCACCGGCAGGGGCAAAAGACACAGGTCCTGTGGCAGTGGGTGCAAAGGAGGGGTCTGCATCCCGGAAAAGCCCAGGCTGCGGGTGAGGGGGGCAGCCGAGAGCCAAGGGATGTCTGAAACCAGGAAGCCTCTGCCGGTAGGTCTTACCTGGAGGAGACCTGGAGATCCAGGGACCGGGGCAGAGCCATGGGAGTAATTAGGACCGGGACACTTGGTTACCATGGGAATAAGTAAGACTTTAATCCTGATGAGCGGCTCTGTGCGTGTACTCCTTCCAGACGCTCTCTTCCCCCGGGAGGCTGACCTTCGTCCCCTCAGTGGGATGGGCTCCCCGGGATATGAAATCCTGATTCATCAGCATTAGGTCGCCAGGGAACTCAGCTACGGGGAGGAGATTCCGGTTGGTTAAGCCCGTGATGGAGCGTTCCACTTTCTTGGTGGGCAAGAATGGTTTCCGGTCGTTTGGCTGGTGGATGAAACACTTTTTTGGTTCCTCTGACTTGAAAATTACATTCATGTTTATTTCTTGTCTCTTTGTGGCTGCGTTCTCTGCGTTGCTTCTCTCCTCTTGCTTGGTGTCACCGTAGAAATCAGCGCCCTCGTCTTCCCTCGTCTTGTCTTTCGCCTTTGGGCACAGGCCGCCTCCGGACAGAAAGGAAGAGCCCTGAAACCTCTCGATGTAGGGCAAGAGTTGCCTGTTTCTCAGGGCTCGAGCAAGCTGCATCCGTTCTATGTGCTTGATGATGGTGAGCTTCTCGCGCTGTGGCATTCTTAACTCCTCTGGGGGCACGATCACCTTTGCGGTCCATGTTTTTTCGAGGGGCCTACAGGTGGCACAGGGAGGGGAATGCTGTGTTCTATAGTCCATCGCCCGCTTGTAGTCTGAAGACAGTGATTGGAGCTCCTTGAGCATCTTCCACTCTTCCTCTTGCTTGTGAGTCAGAAGCCGTTTTGCCGCCACGGTGTGAACACCACCCAGACGCTGACAACGTGAAGGGGACTGTTAAAATCGCAACGGGACAGGAGCAGGGGCACCCACAGAAAGAATTGCCTTGTGGCACCTCTCCCCCTGTGGCTGAGAGTCTGAGCCCCTGTGCAGTGGGAAACAGGGAGGAGCTGTGGGGTCAGATCCTGTCTCTTCTTCTGGGTTGGGTTCACATCCTGTCTCTTCTTCTCTACGGTGAATTTGGAAGAATAGTACCGACTTACCGGGCATGGCGAGGCCTTACATATGAAAGCAGCTCGCACAAGGGAAGGGCTCCAGAGATGGCAGCTCCCGTCTCTCATCAGCACTCACAGCTCTGTTCCTGACCAGGACTTTGGAACAAGGGAGGATTTGCTATGCAGGTGTGGGAGCCTCCAGCAGATGCAGCCAACTCGAGGCTACTAGGAGACTTGTGTCTCCGTGGCTGGTGGGTTTTGAACCTCCTGCTCCACCCCCCAGCCTACTGCCTTGCTTCAGCGGGGCCTCCCTGTGAATAAGCTTTAGGACACTTACTAGGATCTCTTTTTCCAAGGGGGAGTATTTCCCAAGGGCAATGCGTGGATCTGATTTGTAGAATTTGGTCCATATCCTGAAAGGCAGAGAGGCAGGTAAAGTAGGACTCCAGGAAGGGTCTTTCTACTTATAGTTTTGGAGGAGGGGGAACTTAGGGCGACTCTGCATTTGTCAGGCTAGGACTCACTGTGACTGGGGTGGGCTCCTCCCCTTGGCTCGTTCTGGGGAGCGAGGCGGGGCGGGGTGGGAGAAAGGACCAGAAGCACAGCTACACTCACTCCAACGGTGAAGCAGAACACAGACCCCGTTGGCAGCATAGGGAGTCTTTATCCCGAAAGGAATCGCTCATGGTACGTATTCTGACTGGTGTTCCGTTCTTATTCCACATTCTGTCTGCAGCCTTCCTTTCTTGGGTCCTCTGTCTTCCCACCTTCTGACAGCCATTCTCCCATTCTCTGATCATAGTCCCTCACTAGGCTAGGATAGGAGGTGTCAATGCCTGGAGTTGCTTTCTAGGACTGTGTAATGGGAACCCAAGGGACAGTCACAAACTTCTCTTGCATCATAACTGACCTGCTTGGGGGCTATTGTGAGGTCTGAGTTTAGGCATCACAGGATGCCCTGGGGTGAAATGGACACTCAGTACCATGTTCCTGCTGTGCTGGAGTCCAGGGCAATAGAGCGGGCAGAGCTCGTGGCTGGAGGGACGATCTGACCACGTCACTGCCACCTACAAGCCCACAGAGACTGCTCAGTCCCTTTAGGATGAAGGCTCAGTCTCTCTCTGGTTTTCGCTTGCCTCTCCAATCTTGGTTCCTCGTGCTCCATCAAAGTCCGCTATCCGTGGCCCTTGGAACCAGCTGTTGTTCATGCTGCCCCCAGGTGTCAGGAACCTCCCCTCCCCTTGGCAACTCGCTTGTCTCTCAAGCTCACCTGCGCCTCCCCTGAAGTTTTCCTTGCGGAATAAATCACCCCTTTGTCTCTGTTCTCATAGTCTTGGTATCATTATGCTATAGTGCCCTGTCACAAATTGCCTTAGTTGTCCACTAAGTCTGTCTCTCCCTCTGCTCAAAAGGAAGTACCAACAGCATCTTATTCTTGTGTTGCTGTGGTCTAGCACGGGGCCTCGCGTAGAGCAGATGCTCAGCTTGCTGACTCAATAAGCAATTGTCCTGGGCCTCTGGCCAAAGGTGGGATCAAGAGTGTTCCCGGTGAGAGTGGACGTTGGCCCAACCCCTACAAAAAGTAATGTGACTGTATATATATTACATATATAAAACATTACAAATGCATTTACCCTTGACCCAGCAAATATGTGTGTAAAATACAATATGCACAAGGTTAGTCAACACAGCCTGTTTGAGATGACAAACCTAATGACAAACTCAAATGTCCATTACTAGGGATTGGTTAGAGAGTTATGGCCAACCATACAATGGAATACTCTGCCGCAGTAATAAAGATCAAGGGAGGAAGATCTTTATTTGTATGGAAATATCTCCAAGAAATATGGTTAAATATGGCTTTTGCATAAACGTACAAAGCAAGGTGCAAAAGAATATAAGTTGTAGACTACCTTCTAGAGTGGGAAAGGAACAAATAAGCATATATATTTGTATTTTGCATAAAGAAAATCTAGGATAATACGCACACAAAAACTAATAAGAATGGCTACTGGAGGTGGGTACCTGGCAGATGAGAAAGTGGTGGAAATGAACCCTTTCACTGTATACATTATTCTGTCTTGAATTTAGAACCATGGGAGTGTATTACCCCCTGGAAAAAATGAAAAGGAAACAGCAGCTCACGGAAGAGGACTTCCGTGTTGTCTCTGACAAGTATGGGTCCTAAAGCTTGCCTTTGACTCCACCAGGAAATTCAAAGTGGGGACGTTTAGGACGTGGTCCAGTGCTCAAAGCCATGTGAGCCAACTAAAACACAATGGTGATCCTCCCGTTCACACAAGCCAGTTCAGTTACCTGGAACAGCTCCAAACCCAGGAATCTGCAAAGAGCCCCTCTCAGCGGTAAAGAAAACGTCTCCGGCTCTGTGTTCAGTGACTCAGCCGCCTGTGCTAATGAAGGGTGACCTTGCATGAACCGCACAACACCTGACACATCATATGCACTCAACACATAGTTGTGAAACAACCAGTGAATGATATATGATGGAATATTATGTACCTACCAAAAAGCCAGTCTGGGACAAATTTCCATAACGTATTTGTGGTGTTATTTGATATTTAAAAAAGGCAGAACACAAAACTTATATAGAGGAGGATCTGGATGTTGTAAATACACAAGTATGCAAGAGGGAAACAGACAAGCAGGAAATACACAGAGACGTCAGCACTGGTTACTCTGGGCTGTGGGCTGATGGGGGATCCTCTAGGTCTGGCTGTATTTCAGCAGGCTGGTCACCTCCAGATATTTAGGAGGAGGAGCTATGGTCCCATCCCAAAATATACGGACAGGAAAGGATGCCATGGTCAGGACCCAGCTTCTCCAGACATCAAGGAAAGGGGGCAAGAAAGGGGGCACACTGCCACTCTGCCTGGGAGGGTGTCACCATGGCAACAGGTCTTCACATTGTGGGGAAACTGATGCTTCCTGCACTCAGCGCCACTAACCTGCTTGGAGCTCACTTCCTTCTCTAGCTGTCTCATTGCCATCCCCAACCTTTTTGTTGTTGTTGTTGTTTTTTAAGATATTTCTCCCCGATCATTTTTACTTCAGTTCTTATTCCTGATTGTTACGTGATTCTGTGCTCATATTTATTCACAGTCATCAACCCCATGGGCTGGCTTGTTTTCTACACTTCCTCTTCTACTGCCTGTCATTTTAATCCTCTATGTTTTACTTTCATGTTCATTTTATGTCTCTGCCTTGTAGCCTTTAACTTTTATATACATTTCTTCTATTTTTACCTACTGTATCAGTCAGGGTTGTTCAGAGAGACAGAGAAGAGAGCTTAAGGAAATGGCTTATATCATTATGGAGCTGGAAGACTGGCAGCCTGGAGACCCAGGGAAGAGCCCTGTTGCAGGTCAGGCCTGCTGCCAGAACTTCTTCTTCCTTGAGGTACGTCAGTCTTTCTTCTGTTCAGGCCTTCAGCTGACTGGGTGAGGCCCACCCATGGTATGAAGGTCAGTTTGCTTTACCCAAAGTCCACTGATTTAAATGTTAATCTCATCCAAAAACATCCTCACAGAAACATCCGGAGCTATTCATGGCCCAGCCAAGTTGACACATAAAATTAATCATCAAATCTCCTTATATTTACTAGGTTTTTAAAGATTAGTTTAAATTTTTTTTGTAGTCTTTAAACAGCAGAGTGTTGTGCTGTTCTCCCACTTTGGAACTTTGTGGTAATAGATTCATATAGTATATACTCCCTTGTGTTTGCTTTTTTCCCTGAACATTATGTTTCTCAGACTCTCTTACCAATATGTTTGACTTTGGCTCATTTCGTTGTTGCTTAGCACGATTATATTATGATTTCTTAGTCATACGCTTTCATAATCATAATGATTTGGGGGGCATTCTTATACATGTCTCCTTGGGTTATGTGCATGCTTTTCCAGTGGGTGCAAACCTAGGAGCAGAAGTCCTGGGTTCTAGGGTATGTGTAGCTTCGATTTCCGACAAAATTCTCAGCTCTATTCCAAAGTTTCTACCAGTTCACAATCCCACCAGTAATTCCCCCTTGCCAACACTGGTGGGTATGTTGTGGTATCTCACAGTGGCTTTAATTTGCATTTTTCTGGGTACAAATGAGACTGAACGCTTTTTCTGTTGGCCATTGAGTTGACCCTTTGTGAAATGCCTGTTCTAGTCTTTTGTCCATTTTTTCTAATAAGCTTTTGTTTTCTTGTTGATATGTGGGACATCCTTACGTATTCTTGATGGAAGCCCTTCACCGGTTCAATACATGGCAAACACCTGCTCCTACTGTGGACTTGGCCCTCTCCTTTCTTAAAGGTGTCTCTTATGCCAGGTGTACTCCCAACCTACCAGCCTTTCCTTGATTGGTTAGTGCTTCCTGAGCCTTGTTTAAGAAATCATTTCCTACCCTAGGTAGGGACAATACTCTCCTAGATTACGTTATGTATATTTATGATATTCTACAGTCTCTAAAAACTTGGGTTTTTTCTTTTGAACTTTCCTAACTTCCTACTCTCAGTTTTTCAGCTATAATGCTCAATTATTTCCCACCTTTTTAAAAGTATTTTCCAGCTTAATTTTATATGGCTACCAAGAAATGCGTGCGTGTGTGTGCACTATGCGCACTCGCAAATCACCCACAAAAACTGGGAGGACTTTCTTCCTCCCCGCAGCCGGCCCTGCAGGCAGAGCCTGGGCTCTGGCTCCCTCTGGTGGGAGCTGCGGCTCATTGCAAGTTGTCTCTCCAAAGACCCATCAGCCATCTCCCCTCTCCAGCGGTAAGATTTTCTATGTAGTAGCCCCCTCATTTATGGAAATGGTGCTCCTTTTTAACACTGCATGGGATACAGTCTTTATATGAGAAGCTGCGTGCTTTAAAATCATAGTTTCCTCTACAAAACCATTGGCCCTAGGCAGATCAGAGCCCTGGGAAGTTCTTCCAGACCAGCACTTCTCCAAAGTTAACGTGCAAATAAATCTCCTGGATATTTCTTTAAAATGCCAAGTCTTATTTGGTAGATCTGGGGTGGGACTTAAAATTCTGCACTGCAACAAGTTCCCAGGTGATGCCAATGCTGCTGGTCCAAGAAAAACAAAGTGGCGACTCAGTGTAGGACCACTCAACATGGGATGCTAGTCCAAGTGTGGTCTGTGGACCAGTAGCAGTGGTATCGATCGCTTAGGAGCATGTTAGAAATGCAGAATCTCAGGCCCTGCTCCAGATTTGCTGAGTCCCGATCTGCATTTCAAAAGTTCTCCAGGTGATTCACATGCACAGGTAAGTGCAAAAGGCAGCTGGTTGGTGCCTGGGAGGAATCAGATGGTAGGGTCAGCCCAGAGGGCTCGTGGCCAGGACTCACACTGCTATACACCAACCTGCTTCTCAAATCCCGTTCCCAGCTTCTCCAGGCCCCTTCTTCTGGCAGAAGGACTGGGGAGACGGCAGCTCAAGCAGAGTTGTTACAAGCAGTTACTTAGGCATGGGGTCAGCTGTGGCCCTTCTGGATCCTCCTTGGGAGGTCCACCGGGAATATGGAGCCTCAAGGTGAGGGGAGGCCCGTTTCACATCTCGACCTCTGGGAAGTGTTTTGGACACACTGAGGTGTCAGAAGCAGGGTTGTTGATTCTTTTCCTGTCTGAGGGGTAACAGGTGATTATCTGGGGAATTTCAAGTGCCCGAGGGATAACTTAGTCAAACTTGAGAATCTAAGCCGGGGTGATGGTATTCCCACCTGTGTGAGTTTTCTAGTTTTCTCCTCCAGAATTTCTGCTGGGTTCTTTGCAGGCCCATCTGTAGTTATGTTATTAGTGTCTCACCTCTCTTATTAGGCTGTAAGCTCCAAG